AAAACTATTTCGCCAAGATCTAAAATTAAAAATCTCGATATTTACCGCTTGTTTTCCGTTCCTGTTCTAAACTCCTTTCTCTCTTTTATTTCCAAACCATAGCATGGCGTCGTTTTCTTCAGCGCTATGTCGATGGACTCACTCTTCACGCAAACAGCACTCAATCTTCTACTGCTGCTGGTCGTATTATGGATTTACGGCCGTTTCCGCTTTCAGCGTGATATCGAATTCATGCTGGGCCAACGTTTTCCCACATGGAAAGTGAATGTATTGCGGTTTGTTGCGCCGATTTGCCTCTGTTTACTATTGGTATGTGAGGGACAATATTTACATAGTTATTTATTCACAATGTCGTTTCACCTACTAAATATTTAATAAAAACAAAACAGTCTCGCTCATAACTAACAAAATTTTATTTGCTTTAACATTTTAGTTAATTGCGGTTGTTGCTGCCTACTACGAGCACAGAGTCGCCTCAATCGTCATCCATATTGTAGCGGTTTTGCTCATCGTTCTACCTTGGCTCTGCTTACCCGGTTACATGATCTATGTGCTGCTGCAAACATCGGGCTCATTTATGATGCGCTTTCGACGTTGCTGTCGACCAATGGATTGGTATCCCGTTGAAATGGAGGAACGACAACGTTACGAAGAGGCCATGGGTAATATGGATATTACGCATCAATTGAGTCAAATTGAAGATGAAGTTGCGCCATAAAAAGCTTGTGATACATACACATGTATGTATGTGCAATATGTAAAAGAATTTCCAACATAAAATACTACGGCTAAAAATTATAACTAAATTACTGTATATATGTAGGTATGTATATGTGTAACTATATATGTACATAAATATGAATGTATAAGGAAATTGTGATTTTGTTAAATGAGTAAAATTATTAGCAGAGCTTCGTAAATAGTAGCTTTAGTGAACGTTTAGTGGATAAATTGCTTTTCCGCAAACCCCATTTGTAAAAGCTTTGCATCAACCAAAGACGAATTTATGAAAATGTTAAAATAGTTTTTTTTTATGAATAAATGCTCACACTTTATTTTGTTTTTTCTATAAAATACTTATTGATACATATGTGTGTACTTTAAAATTGCCTAATTTTTTTTTGTTTACGGACTTGCTTGCATATTATTTAAAATAATCTCATTTATGTTTTACTATACTGCACATCAACTACATATTTACATCTACACATCCGCACTTTAGCCACACTTGCCACTCTCATACATATTATTCAATTCACACGTAAATTTCCGTGTACGCTGATACTCCTCATATTCAATACGATGCTCCTCACTTGCTGGTGTCCAATCGTTGGCTTGCAGTTGCTTTCGTAAAATCTCCAATAGCGAACCTTTGCCACGCATTAGCGCATAAATCATATATGTAGGAATGCAGGCGATGGAGATGCAACAGCTCAGCCACCCAAGTGCTATGGCCCAACGTGGATAAATTATGCCGTTATAGGTTATGTCTCGATTGAATATGATGCTGGTGAAGAACATGCCCTTTTGATTGATTAAAGAGAAACAGTTATGATATACGTATCGACGTAAAACGAGGAACAATTAACAATTATGCTTACAATTAATATAATCGGCGTAAGATACATCCAACAGAATTTCCACACAATGCCTGGCCGTTTTCCAATCATAAAGTAAATATCGTCGATGAAATTATCTACCCCATAAATCCAGGCGACCATCACAACTTCCAGCACGCAAATGAGTATTACCGAAACGGAAGCGGAATACCAATCGAAGAGTTGTAGTATGAACATGCCACCCTGCGAAAGAGTGACGAAGTTTAAGAAAGAATAAGATGGAATTGAATATGCTAGAAAACAGTACATGGCATGACGTAAATATTTTGTAGACAATATTTCTGATATTATAACACTGTGCGACAGTCAAAAATCAATATATTCGCGAAGCTTGGGCTGCCGAGATAGGGCGAGCTTACACTCAGCCGTCGGTATACTCTTATACCTAGCATTTGTATTCATTTTATTCTTAAATAGCCGATTCTGACTGCGCTATTCTTTATCTCATCACTAAAATCGAACTCCGCGAGGGATTTTTCCTATGTTGTCCATTCTGTTACCACTTAATAGACTTTTTCTAGAACGGTAACTGCAGATAATTCACATAAAGTGGTTAGAAAAAGCCCAAAATTAAGCTTTGTTGGGCCGATGTCCATTTCAAGGAGCTTCTTGGGAGTGTGGATGGAATACGTGCCGAGATTGTTTAACTTTAATCTCGCAATGCAGGGCAGATGAGAAGGGAATATCGTCATCTACTACGCATTTGCGGCAATAGAAATGCGAAGTTGTATTAAGTCGTACCGCGTGGGTTCAGCTTTAGAAGTTTCTTTGACCGCACCTGGTCCACATTTGCATGCCAGCGTTTTCGCCCAACGTTCGCGAACTATAAGCGCATATTTATAGCAGCAGTCCACAGCTTTTGCTCAGCACTGCTTTGCTCTCCCTGTGAAGAGTGATGACCTCAAGGTTGTCCTGGCCATCCAGTTGATCAGCCATGCAGTTTAATGCAATGTCAGTGTGGCCTGGGACTCAAATCGTATTAGTTTTAAATTAAACAAAGATCTAACGTCTTAATAATGTTTTAAACAATAAGTTGTATGTGTCAATGAAGACCCTGCGGTACGGGGACCGACTACAGGCCTGATGAATCGGTAGCTACCAAGTAAAATCCGTTGATTACCGATCGACTACTTGCCGCATATTTCAGCGATAGTCACCATCGACTCTCTCTGCACTACCAAGGGTTACTAAGGTAGTTACTTGCTTGATTTATGGGTGCCCCCTTTCGTAGTTTTTCGCAATTCTGCTTCCGATTGGTTCGACTCTGTATTATCATGTGCACTACCATGCGTTAATAGAGTAGCTACTTACCTAGAAGTCGGTGCAGTAGCGGTCCAAAAGTAGCGATTGACTCCAGTAGTACTGGAGGGGAGGCTTATCGGTCTACAGATTACGCAACTGTTGATCGATTAATTCAGCTATGCACGAGGTTTTAGAGAGTATAGAGCAAGCGCTTAATCTGAAGTCAAAAGGACTTGCCGAAGTAAGTTACAAGTTTACAATCGATTTACTCTGATATGGTCGCTGAAGGGCTAGATCCGTTGATAACTCTCTTCATCGAAAGCACAACACATACTATGTTGAGTAGAAGAAATATAAACAGTTCCTTGGGAGTCGAGGAGGTGAAGGAAACAGCTAGAAACGATTCTCCTCAGAGTATGGTTTCATCCCCTCTATGTATTGAGGGTTGCCAGGTAAGAAGCTCAAAAAACCGGGCACGTTTCGTTTGGCGAGAAATTGAACGGGGGATGGAGAAGAGGTGGTGGTGTGAGTTTAGACCAACTGACGCCAATTGGAAATGCCAAATGAAGCCAAGCCCTTCTCCACTTGGTCTTTCCACCGCAGTGGGGGCTTCCTCTTCCTCTGCTACCACCAGCGGGTTCCGAGTTGAATACTTGCTGGAGCGTCGGAGTCCATTCGAACGACATGGCCAAGCCAGCGGAGCCGCTGTATTTTAATTCGCTGCACTATGTCTATGTCATTGTAAAGCTGACATAGCTCATCATTCCATCGTCTGTGGTACTCGCCGTCACCAACGCGAAAAGGCCCGTAAATCTTCCGCATGATGAGGGACTTATAGAGCGTGGTTTTCGTAGGTCGAAAGAGGACTTTACTCCTGAATTGCCTTCTCAGTCCAGAGTAGCACTTGTTAGAAAGAGTGATTCTGCGTTGAACTTCCATGCTGACATTATTATCGGGGTTAATGCTGGTTCCCAAGTAAATGAAATTCTCCACTTTCTCGAAATTATAACTCTCAACAGTGACGTAGGTGCCAAGACGCTAGAGCTGTAGCAAACCGTATGTATTCGTTACTGAGTAACGAATACAACCCCTGACTCGAAGTACCGATTACGCTAGGAGATTTGTAGCGATGATTCGTGTGAGGTACAAGACTTGTATAAAAAGTAACGAGTAAAGTAATGATACGAAAGATACAGGAGTTGATTGCATTAGTAACGAATACATACGGGTATCCAGATTTTCGTTACTTTTACAGCTCTACAAGACGCGTATACCCTGACTGTTTGTTTGTTGACAGGAGATACTTCGTCTTGTCCTCGTTGACCACCAGACCCATTCGCTTTGCTTCCTTATCCAACTTGGAAAAGGCAGAACAGACATCGCGGTTCTTATTATCGATGATGTCAATGTCATCGATTTACGTCAATAATTCTAGTCTCTAATAAAAAGCTGTTCCTGAACTTGACCGCGGCTCCGCAGTTCTTATTATCTTCTCCGACATCAGATGAAAGGAATCACATGCAAGGGTCGCCCTGGCTGAAACGCCGTTCGGTAGCAAACGGCTCGGAGCTGGTGGTATTGCTCAACGTCATTTTACACAGCCGTGTCAGTTCAGAGATCGCGGCGTATAGGCAACTCCTTTTAGTGCTATCGAAAACGGATTTGAAGTCGGCAGATAGGTGGTGGTGTCGATCTTTTTCTCGCGGGTCTTTTCCAAGATTTGGCGTATTGTGAATACGTGGTCTGGTCTATGGTGCATTCTCCAAGTCTAAAGCCACACTGAAAAGGCCCAATGAGTTCATTGACGGTGGTCTTCAGTCTTTCACACAATTCGCTGGACAATACCTTGTAACCTGCGTTTAGAAGGCTGATCCCGCGGTAGTTGACGCGTATGGCGGGGTCGCCTTTTATGTGGATTAGGCACAGTATACTTAAATTGCAATCGTCGGACATGCGTTCATCTGACCATATTCTGCATAAGGTACATGCACCTTATCAGCTCCTTGCTGCCGTACTTGTATAGCTCAGCTGGCAGGCTATCAACTCTAACAGCTTTCGTCAGTCAGGCAAAGTCGATACCTCTATGGGACACTTTACGCAGAACTGCCACGTCATGATTCGACCTAAAACCACTAATTATCTGCAACCACTGTCGAGGTAAAATTAAGGATATTGGTTTTGGGTACATCAGCTCACGTGGTCAAGTTTGACCCAGTACACTTCTAGTCACAAACCTTTGAGAGTAGGATGCTAGTAAAAAATAATACCAGCTGGTATTTTCATATTTGAAAGGCTTAAATTAGTCACACTTACCCTTGTCACCATTATAATGGACATCAAAAACATAATAAATACTGATCCCAATGTGACGAGTGCCTTATGTTTGCGCAGTTTTGGTACCTCATCGATGACAGACGATATAATGGCCTCAATTTGCACAAACTGTAATACATTTTGATTAATATAAATAAACAAACTGCATATTTAAATGTTAATAAAGCAAAAAGATTGCGCAATAAAAACTCACCACACTATCCAAGCCAAGCAGAAAGAGCATGAAAAAGAAGAGCGCAGCCCATAGGTGGGGCACTGGTAGCATAGCAATTGCTTGGGGATATGTAACAAATGCAAGACCTGGACCAGATGTGGCCACCGTACCGACTGGTATACCTGACTGATCTGCAATGAATGAAAAAAAAAACACATTTTATCAATAAATCATTTATGTTTTCCAAGAAAAAATGCATTCTGCATTACGCACGTGATAAAAAACCCAGCACGGAGAAAACTACAAATCCCGCAAATATGCTGGTGGCACAATTTACAATCGGTATTATAAATGAATCACCTCTGGCATTATTTCGAAAATTATTGAAACTTGCCATATTGACGATGCCACCCCAACCGGGTCCAAGTGAAAAGAAAATTTGTATGGCAGCATCAGCCCAAACTTTCAGATCCAATAGGCGTGACCACTCGGGCTTAATGTAGAATAGAATACCTCGCATTGCACCAGGCAAGGTAATGCCACGTATGAATAGTACGAAAAGTATGAAGAAGGGAAAGACCGCTGTGAAGTAAACCACTTTGCCAACCTGATAAAATGTAGTAAATTAATATACGATGGGAACTTGTTCTGACATTGGTTAGTGCGTACTGACGGTTTTTATGCCACGAATAATGCAAACGTAAACGGAGAGCCACACAAAGATCAGACAATAAAATAGCGGCCAAACGATGCCACCCAATTCTTCTATACTATCAGAAACTTGTAATATCTCGTAGCTGTAATAAAAAGAATATTAAAATATATATACAGGAATTTCGTACACCGGCAAAAAGTATACTCACTGAAAAAACTCATCGGCTGGTGTGCGAAAGCCGGTATGGTGTGTAAAATTACGTTTCCCTAACTGAAATAATGGAAAAGGGTCAAATGTAATCATTTAATCGTTTGTATTTAAATTATGGAATAAATGAAAAGAAGGTCCTTAGTATTAGAGCAATGTGGTCCTTTATTTAGATTGCGTGATTTTCAATTAGTCAAATAACAAAACAAATAATCAAATTAATTGAAAGTTGTATCAAATCCTTAATAATATAAATTTATTATTTGTTCGACGAATGAAATCAGGAATAAAATTTTTCGGTGGAAAAACAAAACAAAATAAGTTAATAGTAAAAACAAATATTTTTAAAGCAAGCTTTCTAAATATGAACGAAACCAAATATATCGACCTGTGCGCCACCTATCGCCAAAATTTTTTGATGAAGTGTTTCCTTTTCATGTAGTTAATATACGTTCTAAATATGAACCGAATCGGACTATCAATACGGGTTTTTCAAATATCTCGACTCCTGCGCCACCTATCGGATTAACTCAACTTTCGTGTTACATTGTCACGTGAAGTTTTAAGTCTCTAGGTCATCGGTCAAGTAAGTTCAAAATTTATTGCAAGATTTGCCCCTAACAAACATATGTACATACATACATGCAGAGCAAGTTAAATAAAAGCTTGTAAAAAACGTTGAAAATGCACAATATACTCACTAAATGATGGGTGAAATATAGTAAGACTGCGTTTTTAGGTTTTCACTCTGACGTCAGGATTTTTTTAAAGGACTTTGAAATTTCAAAGATATGGTGAATTAAAACATTATTTAACATTCGATGCAATTTGAAGTTTTTTGGTTTACAAGTACGAAAATGCGCTTTTAGTTAACTTAATTTTTTTAAGCTAATAAAGTTAGGAGGACGAAATTCGAGGATGTGGTCGCGTGTATACAGTACTTAACATACAATTTTTTCAAAAATAAACATTGCAAATTTTCAAGGCTATTCAAGAACAAAATTAAAAAAAACATGGTGGTGTTTTATTTTTGAGCTATAGGCCGTATGTTAAATAAAACATTAATGGCCTTATTCATAAAAAATAAAGTAGGTTTAAAGAGCTTTATAAATTGACGTTTTCATACATTTTTCAATTTATAAACCTTTTATAAAGCTACTTTATTTTTTTTGAATAAGGCCATAAATGTTTTTCTGTTTTATTTACTTTTTAGTTTTATTTTGGTCGATATTTCGCCATCAGTCTGAAGGCATCTTCAGGAACTATTAGCTTTGTCCGGTCGACAGGATGACCGGATGGATGTAAATAAAACAGAAAAACATTTAATGCTTTATTTAACATACGGCCTATAGCTCAAAAATAAATTATTAAATTAAAAAAATAAAAATAAAAATTTCCATACCCGTTCGTCATTATGCACCAAAAAGTTTTATTGTACAAAATTTTCTCTTTTATTTGATACTAAGCTATTCGATTATTCGCCTTATTTCCAAAACCGGTTTTCGAGTTACTCGAAAAATTGCAATTAAAAAAAAACAAAACGGTTCCCTATTTTGAAATTAAGGAAAAAAACGGATAAGCCGGGTTTATTTTATATAGTTTTCATACAGCGAAAATGCATGAATGCATGAAATGTATGAAGTCACGACCAAAAATTACAATAAAGCTGTAGTGCTTTTGCCGCCGTAGCATGTGCTTAGATGTGCCTGCTGCCACTCGGTAGACCCGTGGTTCAATTTCTGGATCCAGCATAATCAAAAGATATTTTTGAAATAGCTGTCGCCCCTTGGCAGACAATTTCAAAGCTCGGAGTGTACTTCTGCCATAAAAAATCCTCTTCGGAGCTGGAGTAAGAGTGTAGATCTATCCGTTTAAGGTTTCCCTTAAATTGGAAAAAGCCGTGAAAACTTCGAAAAACTCAAAACTTTTATTGAGAGGTCAAGTTTTGTATGAAATGAGAAGACCGGTTTGGCCAATAAAAAAATCCGGTGTATTCAATATTCAAAATGATAGATATTAAAAAAACCGGTGGAAACCGGTTTGGAAAAACCAAGTCAATCACGCTATTTGATACCCACATTGTAATTCTACACTGCACCGAAATTTTCAAATAGTTTTTTTAGTTGGTATATATTTCAAATTTCAAATTTCTTTAAAAAAAAAATCCTGACGTCAGAGAGAAAATCTGAATACGCAGCTTTACTATATATTGCCCATAATTTCGCTAATATATTCATTTTTTTTTTGTGTGTGTAAAATTTACTGTTGCACGGTGTTATATTAAAAGAGTTAGAGATATGACTCTATACACAAGTAATTTTCATATTCATAAAAAAATTTAGCATTTTAAATAGCTACTAAATTTAATTTAATATTTCTGCAGAACAAACAAAAAAGTCCACCAAATACCAAATTAGGTTTTGAGCACTTACTTCTAAGACCTCCACACAATATTCGGTATTCCACTCATTCTTACAATCAATCCATGGTAATTTATGAGAAAGTAATTTACTTAAAAACATTATTGGATAGGCAATAATCACAGAGTAGTAGCAAGTGCAAATAAAATTCACAATCACTATGGCGAAACCAGCGCCTAAAAGAAAGAAAAATTTAATGAGATTTGCATAAGTATCAGAAATGCCTAAATAAATATTGAGAAAACATACTTTGTAAAATTAAAAAACAAACCTTTAAATAGGGGAGCCAAGCGGAAGACGCCTATGCAGCCGAGGCTGGAAAATTGGCCCATTATAATTTCCATAAGAAATAAAGGAATGCCACAACAGAACAACATTAGTAGATAAGGTACCAAAAATGCGCCTAAAAATGCGTAAAAAAAGAAAAAAAGTTGTTGAAAACAATAAAATTGCATTTTTAAAATATTTATAATAAATAAAAAGTTTTTCACAAACAAAAATAAAACATAGCAACTTTATGCAAAAAAAAAAGAGAAAAACCATTACCGAAAAAATGTGTCAAATAAAAATCCAAACAAAAAAAAAAAAATTATTAAGTCTCCTTCGAGCCGGATTTGAACCAGCGACCTATGGATTTCAACATATCAAGATTGCAGTAGAATATGACAATGCAAGACGTTATCATCTGCCCAAAGGAAATGTATGTTACTCTTATGGGTTCGATTGCTCCGCCACACAGCCACTCTATTTAACAATTGAAACTTCTACAGTCCACCGCTCTACCAACTGAGCTATCGAAGGCGTTGCGTGCCGGCTGGAAATGAGCAATGTTGTACATTTTGCCAGCTATACTATAGCTGGGCGGGAGAGTATACGCGCGCGCGCATCGTAAATGCATTCAAGGAAAGGCTCATCGAGGCAACAATAACAAGAATACCAACAGCCACAAAAAAGCATGAAATTCGCTTTATACACTCACACACACAGCCATTGCCACTGATTGAGAGTGCAAGCAAATCTATTTGCGAATTTGTGGTCTAAAAATAGCATCGAATACGAGACTGGTGAAAGCAACAAGTAACCGACAAGAGCAATGAAAGCTTGCATTTATGTATATACATTAGGGTGGTCAAAAAAAAAAGAAGTAAAGTCGGAATTTCAATGCTCTCATCACCTAGGATTGGTTTATGTCGAAAAAAGTATACCCCTACTTTTTTTATCAAAAAATATTTAGAGGTCGCTCAAAGCTCTTAAAGTTTTCCATGTATTTTATATGGGTAAAAAACAGCTTTTCGTAGAAATGATATGGAATTCTTGATATTCAATATTTTTCGACCGGAAAACTCTGGTTCCCTTCAGGAGGCTTCTAATAATGATATCTAATTGGGTATTTAATCATTTCTTAATACTAAAGATTTTTTATTGGTGCCCCCATTGCATTTTTTGGGGACCTATCTATTATAGTTACTATGAAGAAATGGTTAAATAAACAATTGGGTATTGTTATAGGGAATCTTCTGCAGAGAAGCAAAGAATTTTATACCATTTCTACGAAAAATGGTTTTTCCCCATATAAAAAACATGGAAAACTTTGTGTTCTTTGAACGACCTCTAGATATTTTTTGATTTCAAAACAAAAAAATTGGGGTATAATTTTTCCGGTGTAGAACCATCAAAAATTCCAACTTTACTTTTCCTCATGCATTTTTAGACCACCCTAATAAAAAATAAACTAATAAAAAAGGTATATATACATATATACACACGGACAATGAATTCATAGCAATTGTTACGGTAAAAGGAAGAAGCAAATAAAAAATATTGCACCAATTATGGTGCGACACAAAATTTGCATACTTGAAGCATGTGCGAACCAGCGAATGTGTGGGTGTGATAATGTAGAGGTGTATGGATGCAGGGTGAAGAGGCTAAACCATTAAACAATTGAAGTAATTTTACTGTAAAAAAGTAGTACTAATCAAAAAAGTTAAGTATCTCCGCATGAGAAGACATTTTCAATAGTTATTGTTGTCTAAATAATTTGGATAATCTCTAATTCAGAAGATCAGGGGCGGACCCAGCAGCAGATCTTGGGGGGGAGGGGGTTAATATTTTTTCAACATATGTACTAAAATAGTATGTACTGAAGTAGGCAAAGCACAAAACAAATGTTCAGAAAAGTGGAAAATTTTTGGAATTTTTCAAAAATTTTAATATATTTTAGAATTCTAAGAATTTTCTAGGTTTTATACACAAGTACCATGAACATTAGAATTTTTCGACAATTTGTGATGATTCACATTTTTACATTTTAGGATGGATTTCAGAATAAATAAAATTCTCAAAATTTTGGATAATATAAAAATTTCTAAAATCTCAATAATTTTGTACATTTCAAAATATTCTCATTTTACCAAAATTTCTAGAATCTCCCAGATTTCGATAGTCTTTGAAATTTTGTAAATTATCCTAAAAAAAGAAATCTCAAGAAATTTAATAATTTCATAAAATTGAAAATTTTGGAATTTTTGTTATTTTCTAAACCTGCGAAAATATTCAAGCATGCTGTGCTTTCAACTATGTAAAAGAGTGCAGATTCGAAAATACAACAAAAAATTGCAATTAAAAATTGAATATTAAGTAATTAGAAAATTTTGTAAATTCATGAATTCGAAGAACTGATATGCATTTTCGCCAGTGTGTTATAATTATATGATAAAAATATCAATTTTCCGAAAAATAACGAAATTTATCAAAATAACAAACAAACAAATAACTTATGGACGAGCACACCTAAAAGTTAAACGTTCTTAAAATAGAATTAATAACGGAAACCAACAAAACCAACAACCACATGATCAAGTGTGAATTGCAGCGTAATAGCTGCGCTTGATTGTAGTTGGCCAACAACAGTTTATAAGGCGAACTTAGCACAGCGACTGGCTGAGTCAGCTGGGGTCGTCGTCGGTTCGAATCCCGCTGAAGAAGTCTGATGAGGATATGTGGTGATATCCGAAATAGCTATCACTTCTACTATTTATAAATTATTGTTAATTATTCCACAATAGTTTTCATTAAAAAACGGCCTCAAGCTCAATAAAAGTGTTGAATATAATGGGAAAAACGCAGTTAATTGCGTTGCATGTTATCCGATTTTGTTGAAATTCAGAATATATAATGATTTTAATCAAAGAAGAATACATCTGAAAGAATATCCAAATTTGTAAATATTCGCATCCAGCATCTCTTAAAAACAGGGAGCAAATGTTAAAAAAAATATATTCTGATTAAATGTTTTGTATTATGCCCGTTTACTCGAAAATTTTCTGATTTTCTAACTTTAAAATGCTCTGGTAAATTAGATTTTGTAAATATAATTAATCTCATTTTCTGAATTTAAGTTTTTTTTATAGTAAAAAAATATATTGTGTTGAAGTTTAAGACGAGCACGAAGAGAAATGCTGAGGCGAAGACGAACACCCGAAGATAAACCCCAAGACGAATACGAAGACGAACCGAAAGAGGAGAACAAAGACGAAGGCGAGGGTGAACACGAAAAAGAATACGACGAAGAATATGAAAACGAACGCGAAGACAAATACGAACCCGAGAAAGAACCCGAAGACGAAGACCAATGCAGAAAATATTACAAAGCCGAACACGAAGACGCAGGCGAACCCGAAGACGAATGCGGAGGCGAAGACTTTGACGAACACGAATACGAAGACAGATACCATTACCATTACCAATACCATTATCGCCCATTACAATTACCATTACCATTACCAATAACATTATCGCCCATTACAATTACCATTACCTATTACCTTTGCCATTACCATCACCATTACCATTACAGTTACTATTACCATTTTTTTACCATGAAGCACCCGATTTAATTATCACTAGTTCGATCGTTTCTTGGCTTTATTTTTTAGTATTTAAGATACAACCTCCCTTGCTATGCTTGAACGAAATAACAAATAATTTGAAGATCAGTTTCTGACTCTTAGAATTTTGTTAGGCTCTGTTATGGGTTTTTTTAATTGATTTTTAGCACTTTTTTCCACGGACTTCCTTCCATACAAAGTATGTATGTATGTATGTTCAACAATTTTTTATTTTTTTATATGGAATGAAAAAGTAACACCGTCCGCAAAAAAATTTCCAAAAATAAATGCAATTTTCAGCAACTCTAAACTTGCACTTTTATATACTGAAATTGAATGGGCTTTAAAATTGAGTACCTAGAATGTTTCTAAAAAGTCTTATTAGAAAATTGCATTTGTATACAAATTTATTGAATTTTCCTGAGTTTTGCACAAAGTTTGGAAAATTTATTTTAATGTTTTTTGTTGTAGTATGAACTATATTTTTTATAAGAAATTTGCGAAAAAAAATTAAAATAAAAAGCTTTGCACACATTGCGTAAAATTCTCCGAGCCAATACTTTTGCTGTAAATAAAACCTCCTTTTGGACACTTTAAGTTTTTAGTTTTTTATCTTTTCTTTTTTTTTTATATTGATTTACTTTAATTTATTTTGTTAAACTTTGATGGCCTCGAGGCCGAATTTAAATAAAACACAAAATTGTATGTTATTTTATCATTATTTTTAATTTTTTTGATTTTTTATTTCCCATCATCTCGCACACACTCACCTCCTCCACTGCGATAGCACAAATACGGAAAACGCCACACGTTGCCAATGCCTACAGCATAACCTATGCAGGATAACATAAATTCCGTTTTCGAGCCCCAATGGCCACGATTAGCATCGCGCTCTGGAGTTTTCGTATCGGCCGCTGGAGATTTAACTGGCGTAGCATTGGCAAATGCTTGTGTGTATATGTCAGCGGCGGATCCATTGCCAGGATGCGAATTACTGCGGCTAAACATTTAGTGGGCGCGAGACAAAGTTTTTTTTTTTTTATAAACGCAACAAAAATATTTTTTCCAATTTACTTTGGATCGAATTTCAATTAAAAAGGAGTAGGGTAGCAAGTTTAAAATATTTCAATTTTTATTTTTATTTTTTTTTTTTAAGTTGGAAGTTACATTTTTTGCCTTTGGCAGTGTATTTAATGCTTTCTTCACTTATTTCTACAAATTGGTTTTTCAATGCCACAAATTCAAAATTGCATTCTAAGCTATTATTTTTTGCTGCTCTTTGTACTTATTTCGGTTTTTAAAAAATCTACAAAAACTTATTTGAAATATCACAGCTTCTATAACGGCACGACACAACAGCGCGACAGTGCGTATGAGTAACCAAATCGTATATGTACGAAAATACCACTTTATAATTAATTTTGCATTATCCTTTGGAAAATATTGCGGAAGGATGCACGGCAGGATTCGACACTTTTCACAATTCAATGTGCTCTTCACTATCTTGTATTATTTAAACTTAATCGCTGTATTTTTCAGTTGCATTGCGCATTTTACGATTCCACGAGTTCATTACACGTTCGCCGTCCGTCGACAACTGCGACAAAAGCGTGGCGAGCATGCAATTTTTAGTCAACGTCAGTCAAATTAACAGCAAATCTGCGCGTATCTTTCCCAAACGTCTGTCCGTCCATTTGTTTGGGTGTTTTTTAGCATCCAATTTTTTAAAATAGTAATCATGAAATTTACAACGCACCCACAAGATCGCTCGCCGCATGAATGGCGGTGCGGTTGCATGAGTTAGCAGGCGCTATTCGCGAGCATCATAGGGTCATATACATGTATATACAAACCATATGTATATGTGTATGTATGTATATCACAAATAGCAACAAGTAGACGATGACGTCGCATTAGTTAAATTACGAGCATTTCCTTTTTCTTTCAATTTGCTTTTTTTTTTCTTTTCTTTGTGCTCCGCTTTACTTTAGTTAAGTGAAATTTAGTAGTGATTAGGAGGCAGAGCTGCGCGATTTAGCACCTAAAAAAACGCAATTGAGATAATTTGTGTTCACGTTGATATGTGCAAGTAAATTTAAACGAATACCAAGTAGGTAGACAAATATGTTAGTGTAATCAACACGTGTTGATTTTTCTTTTTTTTTTTTTTGTTAAGATTTAGTTCACTTTCAATTGAGGCACTGAGACGCACAGTTTTCTTTACTTTTTATTAAAAAAAAACTGTTAAACTGGGTCATTGTCTGCTATTGGGTCGCATTTTAATTCAAATTTTTTGAAGTGTGTATGTACGTATTTCTGTTATTCGAAAAATAGTAAAATTGTAGTAGACCGAAGTTTGTACATTATAGATTTTAATGAAAATTTATATGGGAGGTCTTCACCGATTGCCTGAAAGAGGCCTAACTTAAAATATAGAAAAAAGAAATGTAGAGCTACCACCTGTTTAAAAATTGCAAAGTAAGTAAATTGGTAAGATAAAGTAAATATTGCAATATGGCTGTCAAAAGAGAGAGGTTTAAGAAAGCTTACAGCTGAAAATATCTTTGTGTTTGAAAATTTTAATTCCATTTAATTGATAACATAAATGAATTATTGCAATAAGGGTATCAAACTAAACAGGTTTAGGAACGTTTACTACCGAAAATATTTTTGAGGGGACTGCCACCTGTTTGAAAAATTGTATATTGATAAAATAAATCAAATATTACAATCAACCTTTACGCTTTAAAGGAATTTGAAGAAATGCGACAAGATGCAGAAAAAAACTTTAATTTGCTTTTCGAACACGTAGAAGAAGTATGCACCAACCTAGGTACAGAAATCAAAGTACCGCGATACAGCAGTCGCCAAAAGAATCGCTTTAATGTGAAAACCGGAGACGCCGAGGCATACTATCGCATTGCTTTTTACATTCCCTTCCTTGATACATATATTGCTCATTTGAAAAGCCGGTTCCTAAACCATAAATCAGTTTTAAATAATTTTAGTGTTTTGTTTCCAAAGTATGATTTTAACGAAAAAAAAACTGAAGAATTGTTTGCTTTCTATGAAAAAGTAATCGACTGCTCGAAACAAATGGGTAAAAATGTGGAAAAAACGAGTTTCACACGAACATTTTCGAAATGCTCTCGAAGCATTACAAGTAGCTAATAGAACGTCTTTTGGGAATGTTTTTAAGATCTTACGTATATTGGTACTTTTGCCCGTTTCAATAGCCACACCTGAACGAAGCTTTTCATGCCTGAAAAGAATTAAAACCTACTTGAGAAATACAACATGTCAAGAAAGACTCAACAGTCTAGCATCTATGAATATTCACAAAGATATAAATTTTTCAGTTGATGACGTTCTAGAAGAATTTTTCAAAAAATCACGAAAAATTTTAAAATTCTTCGTTTCATTGATTTATAAGTAAAAAGAAAAATTTAATGTGTTTAAAATTATCAAAATGTTTTATAAATAAAGCGAAAAATTGAATATATGATTTTAAAAATTCGCGTTTGAAACTTTAACCCCCAAACCCAACCACTCGCACTCGTACTCGCATTCGACTTCGTATTCGGCTTTATATTCGAGTTCGTTTTCGTTTTTCGTTTCGTTTCGTGTTCGTTTGAACTCGTAATCGGCTACGTTTTCGACTTCTTCTTCGAAAACCCTTTCGTATTAGCCTTCTTATTTGACCTCGTAGCCGTCTTCTTCTTCGACTTTGTATTCGTTTTCCTATTCGACCATTTCTTCATATTCTTCTGCCTGTTCGGTTTCATATTAGTCTTCGTACTCGTAGACATGCCTCGGTTGAGACCCTTCTTTTGATGGTTTGAGGGTATACACCTGAAATATCCGGACCCTTAATGAGGAAGGTACCTCTGGCCGGCTGGATAATGTCCCCGAGAAGACAATGGCTGCCATCCAAGAAATGCGATGGACGGGACAAGGGAAGGAAAGCCTTGCAACGTCTACTACAGCTGCCTTGTAAAGAAGCGCAAATTCGGTGTTTGATTTGTGGTGGGAGAGAGATTCCGTCGCCGAGTACTGTCGTTCACCCCGGTGGACGAACGTCTCGTCATAATGCTCATCAAAGCGAGATTCTTCAACATCTCGTTCAACTGCGCCCATGCCCCGACGGAATAAACGGACGAGGGGCGCTTGGAGCGTACATATGATCGCTGCCCCTATACGATACAAAAATCGTGCTTGACGATTTAAATGCCAAGTTGGGCAAGTTAGGGAACTTTGGCTCCCCTGCCGTTTCCAAAATGCAAGGAAAGATCAACGTCAAAAAACTGCGCAACAGACGGCCAAATTTATTCGCCACTCGACTTTTACACCTGCTATCTGAGCGCACTCGTCAACAGTTCGGCACACGCGTGTAGTAGAACCACATTCCCCGCTTATTAAGTACCGCCGCCGAAGAATTAGTCGAATTTCAGCGAGCAAGAAAGAGCAACAGGTATGAAGAAGATTTAAAGGAAAAAGGATACCGTCTACAGGGCAACGCTGCTATCGGGTGCAACGCCAGCTATAGGGAACTGAAGAGGGAAGCGAGGCGTATTTTCTGCAACAAAAGAGAGGCCAAATTACGTGAGTGTGAAGAGCCTTAGATGCTGGCCACAGGGAAAACACCAAAAAATTGTATCAGAAAGTTGGGAGACTTACGTAAGGTTTAAAGACCAGGGCGAACTCCTGAAGAACCACCAGGCCGACCTAGTTACCGATGTCCATAGGGTATTTAAACTACCAACTACCGCGGAATCAGCCTTCTAAGCATATTTAAGTTACAAGGTCTTATCGCGCGTATTCTGTGAAAGACTGAAGCCCACCAAAGAACAGATTGTGCCTTATCAGGTATACACAATACGCCAAATTGTGGAATAGACTCGCGAGAATAAAATGGGCACACACAAATCACAGAAAATTACGTAAAATAAATTATAAAGTAATGCTGTAAAAAAATCGCCTGAATTGGTCAGTCGAGATAAAGTAAAAAGCAAAATATACAGTAAAATACAGAGATAAAGTAGTCATCAAATAAAAGAAAATCAAATATACATATAAGAAGATATATATATGGACTATATTAATAAGGCATGTTTTGGTTAAATCCCATTTTTTGTCATAGGCATATTTTTATTAAGTATATCATACACAAATTACAGAATATGTATATCAAACGAAATGTTTAAAATGCATTCCCAACCCAAAATAATCTGTAGGAGGAGCCAGTTGCAGGAATAACGTTAAGTAAAAAATTTAAAAATTAATTAATTAAATTATTGTGTGGCTAACGAACAAATGATAAAAGTGGACGAACAGTAAAGAACAATTGACGAACTATCGATTGCAAAACAAAAATTTTAATATTTATACTGCTGAAGTGCTAACTTCGGTTGTTTGTTTTTTCTACAACGGAAAAAGTACAGTACGAACGGAAAACTATTTTTTTCATTTGTACAATGCTGTATCAGTTTTCAGTCATTGTGGGCACCCAGTGATGCTAAGTTCCACGATTTGTGACATTTGTCTTGACTGCTTGGCGGATATTTTACACCTCGTTTGAGATTTGTTTTGTGATTTGAATAATTTTTTTTTGGTTTTATTGGTTTTACTTACAAATCAACAATAAAATTCATACAAATCCGATGGCTCCTCCCAAACACGCAAACCGCAGCGTCACTGTAGGCGGCTTGACAACAATTGGCGATCCTGCCAATGATTCTGCGGCCCAGCAAGCCTTCAGCTATGTGCGCGATTTTTGTATGCATGCAACAAATTATCGCAACCAGCAAACTATTGAATCATTGGCGCTACTAAATCGTAGTGCATCACTGCTTAGCACAACTGTGCAGCCACAGCTATTTAATCCTGCACAGCTGGAGACCTCCAAACTTTTCATAGACTTGCATGCTGTTATGGGTACTTTGGCTACTGATTCCGATGCACTTTGGGCTTGCGTTGCACTTTTGCAACATCTAAGCCGTAATCTGACAGCACGTCGCGCATTGG